CCCCACCCCCCCAGAAGAAAGCTGCATGCACAATTCTTTGCAATCACACTACACTGGAATGTGCGTCCTTGTTGTACCATGCGTTCCAGTGCAGGCGATCACACTGAGGGTGGGAGGCGCGTTTGGGTTGCCATTGAACTGAATGGCACTGCAATGCACCTCCCACAGCAGAATTTGTCAGGCCCAAATCGAAAATGACCTTTTCCCACCTTTTAAAAAAAATAAAATTGTATGGTAAGCACATGGCGCTTGAATAGCTTCAGCCCGGGAATGACGGCTGCAAGATTCCGCAGACGGCAGATGACTGTAATTACATCAGGCAGTGGGCTGCTGCAACAGCCAGCCTGCTACTGGCCATTTCAAACAGTAATAGCCAATAGCATGCTGGCTATTGCACCCGCCCACTGCTTGCTGTGCCCTCCTCCCAGTGTGCAGGAGGGAGCTAGGGGATCCAACCAACTAATCGATTATGAGAATAGTTGGCAACAATTATTATAAAGCGATTAGTTGGTTGCAGCCCTATTTTGTACTTTTTTAAAGCCCTTCCATGTACACCTTGCTTGCTGGTTATGAATTGACGAGTGCATTTGCCATATGTTTCGTTGGTCGGATTTGGTGTGGGGACACACTGGGGGCTTCAGATGCCATTGTGATGTGCGGGGCTTCTGGTGTGTCCCTGTGCCTTAAGAAGGTTGGGCTATCTCCTGGCAAACCTGCACCCAATTCATACTTTACTACAGTGGTTCTCAACCTGTGTAACCTCGGGACCCACATTTGTCCTCGGTCATTAAGTCGCGACCCAAATTGCACTGCAATGTTCCATGTTGCGGTACAGTGCTTTCCGGTGCAAGGCGATCGAACTGTGGGTGGGATGTGCGTTTGGGTTGTCATTGCGAAAATGAGTGGATCCTCAACTTGGGGTCCAGTGTGGGCGGCCGTGCTGTGATGGAGCTCCATCCATATGTGCATTGCTTGTAAAGCTCCCGTGCGCGTCCGTAGAGGTGCTGGGAGCCAGAATGTGATGAGCTGTAAGCAATGCAAGTATTGGTTGGAGCTCCCTTGCTGCCATAGCCCCACCTCAAGTCGACACTCTTCACTGGGCATCATATTTTTTAATGGCTGCTCGGTACCGAACTGACAGTGCTTCTCTAGGGGGAGGCTGAGGAACCTCTCACCTAGAAAAGTGGAAGGCATGTGGCGACCCACTGCACACGGGGTCGCGACTCACTTTTGGGTCACGACCCACCAGTTGAGAACCAAGGCTTTACTATATATGTTCCAAGATGGAGGATCTCATACATCAGAGAGTGAGGACCACACTACACACAGGGTCCTTGACGAGGAAGTACGGCTTCCACATATTTTGCAAAAGTTGTGCAACAATAACCTCCGTTTTTAACCCAAATAGTCAGACAGGGTCATTCTCTTGCGGGCTGGATGGTGAGCGTGCTGAGAAACATTTGCTTTCACAAACACACCAAGGCAAGTCGATCTCCTTCTCATCACTCCTTCTCTAAGCTAGTAGATGGACGGCTGCTGCAGACTGCTCTGTCCCTTGTCATCTTGTACTGGACAGGAAGTTCAGGGAAGCCAACTTGAAAGAGTTGGAGCCGTTTAGAAACAAAATGGCTATGTGCAAAAGTTTTGAAAACATACTTTGCTGGACAACGTGTATTTGTTTGATGTGGATTTACTATTGAAATACAATTTGAGGTTTTAATACTACTTGAAGACTATCAGGAAGCTCCCGCGGTGAAAAGCATTCTCATAATCCCACTGTAGCACATAGAATTCACACATACGTAAAAAGACGAATGCAAGCAACGCGTTACCACGGCACTCTGTAGTATACAGCAGCATGCATGCAATCACACTGAGCGGCGGTATGCGATGTGAACCAGCTCTTAGGTATGTATGCAAAAGTTCAGCTTGACTTAAAGAATGTTATCAATGTGTCTGTTTATAGCGTGTACTTCTATATGGCACAGGGGGGCGGACATTTTATTCATTGCCTTCTCAGGTTCTACTTCCCGCTTTGCAGTGCTGCGTACTGGCTGTGGAGCTTCACAAAGTCTATGAGACGACCCACTCACTAAAAACAATGCACTCCTTCTGCGGCTTATATCTCGGCTTAAGTGCACACTTTACCCAGATCTTTGAAATGACAACAAACACACCTTTAGAAATGTTTAGTAATGACAATCTCTATGTTATTATTACTCATCATACATAGAGGGAGGCATTGGGAGAATTAGATTTTTGACCTTTAACATTTAATAGGCAGGTTAATAGAATGAAATGCAGAGCGCCATCTAGTGGCTGATCTCCACATTTGATAGGAAAAAAATAACGCTGGGATAAGCTTTTGAGAGGGACAGGGAGGGAGGCGGGTTGGCTACATTTGGGGACGTCTACCAAAAATTGAGTTATAGGTGCAGGGCCGGACTTTCCACAAGGCCACTGAGGCCTGGTCTCGAGGCGGCGGGGTGTTCAGGGGCGGCAGGGTGTAGAAGGGCGGCATAGATGCGAGCAGGTGGTTTCTTTCTACATTCAGCCCTGCTTTAGGCTAATGTACAGCCACTCGTTTTGTACAAGTGATTTCGACGATGTCACCGAGATCTGGCTGCCTCCCTCCCAGCCGTGGTTTTCGGGATACCCGGGACCACAACAATAACTACAGGATGGAGATCAGTGAACGTCAGTTCTCCACTCAGCCTTCCCCATCTCAGCTGTTACAGGAAAGCCAGCACAGTGCCATATATACAGGTGAAACTCGAATAATTAGAATATCGTTAAGTCTCACTTCTCCTGCTGGATTATAAGCGATGCCGTGCCTCAATTCCATTCCTCAGGACATTAAATCAATTACAAACACTCCCCAACAGAATGGGACGCCTTCATAGCCCAATCACAGATCTCTCACATGAAATGGGGATCCACCGTACACATAAGTGCTCATGCGGATGGCCGGGCACACCGTAGGGACACGTCCGCCCGTCTGAACGCACCCTAAAGCTGCGGCTGGACTAACCCTTTAGCACAGAATAGTAAGCGAGAAAACAAATTCAGATTTCTCTCCCTGTTCAGATTCCGGACATTTCCGCGCTGCCGATAAGAGAATCCCTCCGTACTTACCACAACCTCGGGAGCCGAGTCCGGGCAGAACAGGACTGACACGTGCAGGGCAGGACTGCGATCACTGGGGACTTTCCATGACCGCTTTCCTATCAGTACTCCGGGAGGTTGTCACTCAGCAGGTGACCAGACACCGGAGAAGATTGGCTCGCAGGGTTAAATGTCTCTTTGTGAGTCGATCAGTCACTGGCTATAGATGACGACACGGCTCCGGTCATACACAGCTCACACTTTACAGATGAAGTTTCCTCTATTTATAATTCACATTCCTCGGCCCCTCCTCTTTTTTTTTTATTACAGACCATATTTCAGACCCAACGATGTCACCACCAAGTCTTTGTGCTTCTCTAGGCAGTGCAGGAAGATCATGGCTGGTGAGAGGGGTCGGCACAGTGCTGTGCATACATTCTAGAAACCATCGCAGCGCCCTGCCTTAGTACTCATCTCAAGAGCCCTCGGCCCTGAAACAAGCAGTGGGCTGGCTCTTGGGAGGGGTTATGCAAATATCAAAATGGCCTGGTGGGCAGGTATCAGAGTGGGCGTTCCCGGGCAGACCGCTTTTGCGTGTGGCGCCCATGGGTTTCATACGACGGGTTTTTTACACGTTTTAGGGACTATAAAAATGGTTTTCGGATTAGCCACTAGAGAGCTCTTACTCATACCCCCCTCTCCTTAAAAGGGATAGCAATGGCGTCACAAGGGGGGTTAGTGTCAGGAGAGAGGAGGGGACCCGGCGGCATACCTTATCCCGCCTGGTGAACATCCCCTCCTCTCTCTGCCAGTGTCCATCACCAAGATGGTCGCCGGCAGGCGTCAAAACGACCTCGCATGCGCGATGACGTCACGGAGGGGTGTCACC